TGTAATCAAATACAGGTTTTAATGAGTGACCCTACACAATGATAAAAGAACATTTGTGATTTAAATACAGAAAGATAAATGAACAAGTTATATTGGCAGCACGTGTCTGATGCATACTGTATATGGTGCAGTGTGGGTGACAGATACAGTATTTACTGTGGTGGCAGCAGAAGAAAGATGAAATGTATCCAGAGAGGGAACCTTGGTTTGGGGAAAACAAACAGGGAACACTGGGTGGAACGTCACAAAGTCCATTGCAAGTTACAAGCCATGATGGGGGATGTATAATCTCCAGGCTTAAAAGGAAGGTACCTCCAAATGCTAGATGCCAGGCAAGGGTATCAGGAGACAGGTATCTAGTTGTCTCATGTGCTCCCAGAGGCATCTGGTGGGGCCACTGAGATACAGGAAGCTGGACTAGATGGACCCTTGGCCTGATCCAGCAGGGCTCTTCTCACGTTCTTATGTACCTGTTGCATCGCATCCCAGAAGAACAGGAACTGCATCGAGTTTTAAGAAGCACCTTCACTATTTTTTGTTTTTAGTCTTTTAATTCACTTTGAATAGTGTTTAAAGGCCGCTGGCACGTAATAAAGCTGTATTATTTGTTTCAGTGATATTGGGCAAAAGGGAAATATCCAGAAGCCTGTACACCCTTCAAATAATTGGGGAGCAGAGCGCCAACAGACGGCAACGTCTTCCGGTCTCCTAGCAACTAGCCGGGCACAAGAGAGAGAGAGAGAGAGAGAGAGAGCGGGCCGGGGTGGGGGAGACGTGAAACGGGGCTGTGACGCATAATCCGAACGCGACGGAAAGCGGTTTGGTCCATATGCCGCGCCTTCGCCTTGTTGTGAGGGGGGACGAAGAAGGAGGCCTCTGCGCTCGGAGGGAGGCGGCGGCGGCGGCTGCAGTTCTGGAACAGGATGTCGGGGTTTTGGGGGTGAGGCTTCCGTCGTGGCTGCTTCCTCCTCCTGCTGGGCAGCAACGCCTTTTTCCTCTCGAGGCTTGAGAACACCGACGGGGAGCGCTCCCCGTGTCCCTTCTGGGGACGCCGCGGCCGGGACTCCCGGCTGGGGAAAGGGTTAGGGGCGCTGAGGCGCCTCCCCTGGTTCCTCCCCCCCCCATCAGCTGCCACCCCACGGCTTTCCCCTCCGTCCCTTCCTCCGGCACTGCCGATGCCGGCCGCTGCGAGAGGGGGGGGCGCGGCGTGGCGGGTTGGGTTTTCTGAGGGGAGGTGGCGGCGATGGGTGTGGCGCCTTCCAGCCCGGCCGGGGCCCCCAAATGGAGCTCGCCCGAAGGTGGGGTGTCTTTCCCTGGTTCTCGGGCCACGATCGCCCTCCTGGGTGCCTCGCCCCAGTCCTGGTGGCTCGGCAGGCTGACAGATGGGCTGGTGGGGGGGGCTCCCAAGGGGAGGGAAGGCGTGCCCGGGCTTTTTGGAAGCGCCGGGGTTGCCCTGCGAAGTTTTGTGGAGCCTCCTCACCGCCTGCCCAAGCTCGTGGTGTGGCTGTGTGGTTGAGAGGAGCCCCCCTCACCCACCTACCCGCCTGCCCTCCCGACTAACTGCACTGGGGAAGAGGATGCTGTTGTGCTCTTTGTTCTCTGCTGCCCCCTCGGCGGGCGGGGGCGGGCTCCGTTTCTTATTGAACGTGCCCTAAATGTGCCAAGCAAGACCCCTGTGCTGAATTAGAAAGAGCGTGTAAAACATATAAGAATTCGGATCCCCGTCAATATGGACTCCGTGAACTGAATGAAGTTCTCTTAGTCCTCTCCGCACGGAATGCCGCCCCTATTCGTTTCAGGATCCTTATTTAAGAGGAATATTTTCTTGTTCTTACTATTCTTATTACACCGTTAAGAAATCCTTGTCTCTCTGCTGCTGATCAGAGAGATCTATCAAAGCTTGAGTAGGGCAGCCGGTTGCCTGTAGGCGGAGTGAATACTTGGCCCTTTGAGAAATGCTAGATTCTACCGCTGGTCTATTGTTGCCTGGTTCCAAGTTGTGGTGTTTTGAGCAACGGTCAGAAAGTGTCACCTCTGGACGTGGGAGAAGGTGCATTCGAGAGAAACTCTGCTAGCTGCTTGGTGGTTCTACTCAGAAAACAAGTGTTTCTGTATTTTTTTTATTTTTTTTCACACAAGATATATTAGCATAGATTGGATATGTTAAAAAAATTCAGTCTTCAGGTACATGAAATTTCCAGTGCTTTGTGGAATGTCACTTTAAGAAATATTTTGAAACTTTTACGTTAATGAAAATTTGTTTTTATTTATTTAAAATGAAAAAGCAATTCATCATCCTTTTAGGTAAAGGAATTTGGCCTGTGAAACTGAGTTGTTGGAAGATTGTACTTAATTTAGGCAATTTCTCGACATTTGATGTATGCAAACAGCAAAGTAGATGAAAGGGTTACAAAATGGACAGTTAATATGAAAGCATTTTTCAGCGTTAATAACTGCTTACATTGAGCATTGCTGTTACAATTTGCATTGGTTCCCAAAGTGAAATTGTTTTCCCTCAGTGTGTACATTCTAGAAATTAAACAATTCTCACACTGAAGCCTTTAATCTGTGTATTTCTTGGCAATTAGGGGCTAAAGTACCATGACATCCATTTCTGAAATCATATGATAATTAGTTTTTGAACAGATATTATAAAACTCAAATGGAAATTCAGAAATTAGAACGGCAAATTAGAACACATGTTAAATGTGTTGTAGCCTAAATTATAGTATTTTCTGAAGACTAATTTAAGTTATTTTCTCTGTCTAGTTTATTAGATGCCGTTCTCCTTAATGGTCAGCTGTTCTTGCTCTACACTGTTATTTTCCACATGGCTTAACTAGAATGAGTTTCAAATTCCTTCCCCCATTAAGAGATGCCTACTCTCTATTTACTGACTTTTGAATTGGCAAATGTGAATGACAGTCATTGTATTCTGTGCACTTAAGAAGAGTGTATTCAGGAGGAGCTAATTACATTTGCCTCCTTGTCAACTTTATGCTTATCTTAGCTGCCAGCAGAATCCACTGTATTTTTGAGCTGTATGTCTTAATTGGCAGTCTGCAACCTTACTCTGCCACACTCATGTACAGTAAGTTTCTCTTCTTTTCGTCAAACTCCTTCAGCGCATATCTGGAGAGCCTGTGAAGGGATTTGATTCATCCATGATTTCCATTGTGTTAGTGGAAGGATTCTGTTTCAGTCTATGTAGTTAACTGTCAATTTTTATAAAGAAGATCTCTTTATGAGGATTGCTACTCTTTCCTTACATTTAGAATTGTAGTAGGTAAGCTGTTAAATAGAGCCCCCTCCTTGTTCTGGTACTAAGGTTTGGTTGATAACAGTCAAATGCAGTGGTAACTTTTTATATTAATAGAACATTTAAAAATATTTTTCTTAGAAACTCTCCAAATGAACGAAGTGGCTTTTCTTCCCGGATGTTGAGCTAAAGCATTTTACCATGGGCCAGCAGCTCTCAAGTCAGACACACACTGTTATAAATAAGCTGCCAGAAAAATTGGTCAAACATGTATCTCTGGTTCGAGAAAGTGGCTTTTTGACGTACGAAGAATTTTTGGGGAGAGTTGCAGAACTTAATGACACGTAAGATTTCTACTCATTTGTTTAATCCTGTTTATAAAATACTTCAGCATTTGAATAATATCAAGCTTCACACATGTCCAGAGTGAAGGATTTCCAGTAGTTTTGTTGACTTATGGGGAGTTAGAAAATTCTGTGCACCTTTTAATTCATGCTTAAGCCCTTTTGTGTTCTTCAGGTGTTTAAAAATCTATTCTACATATGAATACTTGTTAAGATAATAAGTACAGGATGACTAAAATCCCTTTGCTTAGTGTAGTAAATCACTCTAGAGTAGGCTCCTTGAATTATTGGAGTTTGATGCGTCGACACCTATGTACATTTCATTGATTCAAACAGACCTACTCTGACTCAATTTAATGTCACAGAGTAGGCCCATTTGAATCAATGAAACTTTTGGTGTTGACTAACTACTCATTTATTCAGTAGCCCTACCCTAGTGGGATTTACTACACTATGCAATAGGATCGTTTCTTTCATTTCTCATATATAAAGTGATTTATAGGAACCCATATCAAGCTAGGAAATGTGTGTGCTTACAAAGTTCCACGGGTAATCTCAGTCTGTTGTAACCAAAGAAAAAGTCTTTGAAGGCTTAACAATAAATTGTGTTACAAGTTTCTGCCAGCCAGAACTTATTTGAACAAATTTGTTGTTATAATGTTTTTCAAACCCAGCCAGGAATTGGGCGTGGAGGGCTTATTTCCCCGATAAGGTATTCAGTGCAGCTGCAGTACAAGGGAGTCAATCTGGTGAATCATAACAAAAGAGGAGAGACAAAACTGTGTGTACATTCATTACAAATCAGGAATGGCAGCTGAGCCAATAACTGAAATGCAACCAACTTTTCAGTACTGGAGTATTTGAAAATATAGGCTGATAGACTATAAAATGAAAGAGTAGAAGTGAATTCAGCATATCAGGTGTGTTGGAAAATATTCCCTTCTCATTCTGCCTCTTTGTATATTCAAATTCCATGCACATTCAGTGTCATGCTAACCTTACACAACAATGTTTTAAGTTTGACCTGACTAGATAACTCATTAGTATAGATACTTGGCTGTGGAACCAGAGGTTGAGAATTCAGTTATCCCCTATGCCTCCTGGGAGAATAGCCAGCCTTGGGCCTTGGGCAAGCTGCCCTCAGAAGAAGGGAATGGTAAACAATTTCTGTGTATTCCCTACCTGCAAAAGGTCGCCATAAATCAGAACTGACTTGATGGCATACAATTATTATTAAAATTCTCTACTTCTGCTTCTCAGAGTTGAAATAGAACTATTAAATGTTATTGTAGCTGCAAGCATACAAAATCACCTTTTATCTGGGTCAAACAGCTTGTCCATTTATCTCAGCATTCTTTACACTGACCGGCAGCTGTTTTTCCGAGGTTTAAAGCAGGGGCCTTCTCCAGCCCTATCTAGATATAATAGGGATTTAACTTCCAACCATTGGCATGGAAAGTGTGCACTCTGTCACTGGTCTACAGTCCTTCTCACTAAACTAAGTGTGTGTGAGAGTTTCTTGAAAACTTTGGAACAGATTTGTAACCTTTGTATTGAAAAACCAGAAGATTAAATTATTGTAAAATAGAAAGAGGGAATGACAGTGACAAGGCACAGGTAGTTGTTGTTTCAGGAATCTAAGACTGTATATTCATGGTATTGATGATATGGAGGATCTAGATAAACATTGACAGAGGTAGCCTCCATACAGTTTTGGAAATGCCTTCTTATTGTCTCAGTTATCTGCACAGCAGCCCATGATGTCTATTAGTGGGCTGCCAAACAGATGAGGGGAAAGTTTCAGTGGGCTAATGGGGCTTGAAAGTCACCTGGGTCCTGTCCTGTTATGGGTGTATTTAATGGGATTCATGTATTACGACTGAGCAATAATAATTGCTGGTAAAAAGTGTGTATGTTGGAAATTAAGAGTAGCATATAAAGAAGCTATAGGTTTCTAAGGCACACGTATTGAATTTGTTCTTCTATTGAAAGGTACATGTGTCAAATCCATGTATTTAATTTATACTGATTTATGGTTTCCATTCATAATACATAGTGTGAAATAAATTAATACAGTACTAAACACTTTTAGGACTGCAAAGCTGGGTTCTGGCCAGGACAAACATCTCTTGTTTGAAGTGCAGCCAGGCTCAGATGCCTCTGCTCTGTGGAAGGTGGCTGTTCGTGTAGTATGTACAAAGGTAAGTTATCAAAGCATTTAGTGCTGTTATCCGTTACTGAGGTGTAAGGACAACTTAAGATAGCATTGTTGGATTTGGTACTTAAATACGGCCACCTAAAAAGATCTTTACGTATTCGTTTTGAAAATGCTAGGTTGTTCTTTGCAGTTTTGTCATGTAGCTGTTGCACTAATGCACTTTTGTAGCTTAAATCGCTTTAAAATTACTGAAAATAAAGTAAATGGATGATGGACCTTCAGAATTGTAGGGACACTGTAAACATTCTGAAGCCATCCACACCATGTAGATTCTTGTGCTAAAGTACCATGAAGCTTTGTGTCATTTTAATTTTCAGAACTCTTGGCTTATATTCAAGTTGTGTGCATGTTTATAAGTAGAGATGGGGATGTTCCTATTTGTATACAAATACTCCCGCACAGCTGGAGTTAATGAGAGTCCAGCCCCTGGGGCCAGACCGTTCACTCACATGTCTGCCAGCGCCGGTCCTGCTCTTCCTTCCAGTCGCTCCAAAGTGCCCGGTCGGCTAACCATTCCTGGCAGAAGGAGAGAATTGTCTCCCTGCAAGGCTGACGAGTGGCTAGCTGACCAGGTGCTCTGGAGCGATTGGAAGGAAAAGTGGAGCAGGTGGTGGCTGTACAGGGGTATTCGTATACGAATATGAATACCCCATCTCTATTTATAAGCACATATTAAAACCAAGTGGTGAGATGTTAAAAGCAAAAAATCATTAAACCTTATCTGTATTTAGATAAACAAGACGAGTGGAATTGTTGAAGCGTCAAGAATAATGAACTTGTATCAGTTCATTCAGCTTTATAATGATATTACAAGTCAGGCAGCAGGTGTTCTTTCACGGATGGATGCTTCAGAAGGAGCTGCAGAGGATCTATCATCTGTTGCTTCTTGCCAGGCCAGCCTTTGGATGGGAAGGTATTTCTGTGTCTTAAGATATTTTTATGTTTGAATTTGTTCACTTTGGTTATACATTTATGTTTGAGTTGATATCTCCCTGGGAGAGTGGAACTGGTAAAACTACTCCTTAAACAACTTTTTTACTTTGAAAGCCCTATTAGAGTTGCTGTAAGTTAGTTCTGACTTTGCAACACAGAACAAAATAACAAATAAGTGTGTAGGGGGTATGCATTTTATACTGTATTCACAGTATCCACCATAAAAAGAAGCATTCAGCTGCAGCTCAGCTTTGAGAACACAGGTTACAAATTCTTATCTTGTGTAAGTTGCAAGTTTGTTACAGGATAAAAAAGATTGTCATTAACTACAAAACATACACTCTGAATGAAGATTCTATAATTAAGGCTTGCCTTGGCTGAACCTTGTTTGGAAGATTACCAGACTCTTGCTGCAAGGGCTTAGGTACTGAAGGTAATTTGTTTTGCAGTGTAAATGAATATGCCATTTGTGGTGATCGCTCACGTCACTCATGCTATTCATATTCATGAGCTGATTTGCATGAACTTATGAGAGGATTGGAGAGGCGGAGTCAGCAGCTGCATGAGGCTTGGCGGGAGAAGGAGTCAGATAGGGCTGGTTAATCAGAGAGAGGGAACAGAGACTGAGAGATAGTGCTGGTTAGGAAAATAAGGTAGAGAAGGTGGTAATGATATAGTAAGAGAAAAGTATGTACTGAGAGAACTGTTGATGAATTGCTTAAGTATAATGTGTATCTGAAGAACTTATAACAATCTGCTTCACTCCAGTAAATAAGTTCTGTTTCTGTTCACAAGACAAGTGACAGACGTCATTTATATTGTGGATGAGGTAATCCACTGGTGACGGTGAGAAGAAAACATGACATGAGCCTTTGTGAGGCAAAGGCAAGCAGGGGCTGCAAGGGCAAACACCACACCATTTTTGATTTTCTGACTCAAAATGTCTTGCAAGGTAGAAACGGCAAGGAATCTTGTCGCATTTTAAAGACACACAAATTTTGTTGGCATTTACTTTTGTGGACTTCATTCCATTTTTTTCATCTGAAGAAATGAGCTGAAAGCTTATGTCAGTAAAACCTACTAGTCTTTAAGATGCCACAAGACTTGTTCAGTTAGAGCAGCAGTCAGTGCAATTTGTTTGAGGCTTTGTTACACTCACTTTATGTATTAGCATGTGAAAGTTTCCTCTTCTAATTATCACCATTTCTCACTAGAAAGCTTGAGGAAAAATGCAAGCCCACTGATGGTATCCTGCTTTGCTAGTGAGGTGGTATGGCAAACAAAAAATGACAGAATTAATGCTTCTTTTGTTACAGAACAGTAATGAGTGTTTGCTAACAGACATGGTTAGGGACTAACTTGAAAGCCCTACTGATGCTAAGAGTAATGTAAATTACTCATCTTTAAATGAGGTCCCATAATGAGGGAATGAGATAGAGGAAGAAGATAGCTGCAGAGTTAAGCCTTGATTTCAACCTTAATTGCACACTGCTCCAGTGGTTAATGGTTTAAGTGACTTTGTGACCTTATATGCAAAATTATCAGTGAAAGGTCAAAAAAAGCCTGCTGTTTAGTGTAATTCTACAGATAGAAGATGGTAGTAATGGTAAAAGAAGTACCATGCTGCATCAGAGTTAAGAAAAGGTGGGAAAAATGAAAGAGTGCAGAAGTTAACCATTGCTTGATTAGTGTATGAGAGTAATTCCTCTAAGCATAGCATGGATTTCACAACTGTACTTATAATAATGCTATGTGCACATTACATTTTTAGTTTATGCTCATAATGGTGGGAACAAAATTACAAAAGTGAAACAAACATTGGCTAAAGATAATTGCACAGTTTTGCTCAGGAGAAAAAAAATCTAATTGTATTTTGGGTCTGTTCACTTAGATTGCTATATCACTTCAACATAGTATGATGCAAATCAATTGAAAAACATGTGGTTTGCAAACATCTTACCCTGAGTCCAGAAATATTCCCAGAATGGAATGTGCTCTGTATCAGTTCCATGCCTGAAAGCTGCTGGAAGCAGATATGGGACATAGGCTTTTGCCTTTGAATTTAGGAGTAGAATTATTCATTGTGCATGTGTATGTGCAAACATGAACGTTCATATACAGAGAACAAAGGTAAACATTAGGACAAGCATTGAACTCACTCCCCTAATTTGTGTAGCATGTACTGGGTTTGTCAATGATTTTTTATTGTGCACAACAGCTGCTCCTAATGCAATAAGCAATTGTTGGACCAGGACAGATGCACTTACTTTAGTTAGGAGGAGGAGATAAATGGCTTGCTCTAAAATGCATATGGAATGAATGACTATTTGGGTTACCAATTTATGGAACATAAACTTTCATGAAAAAAGTATATGTTGAAATGGGGGGAAATTTACAGAAATGCTTATATGTTCAATTTATCCATGTTTGGCTTTTCTATTATTGTGTTCATTTATTATTGTAGGGTCAAGCAGCTGACTGATGAGGAGGAATGTTGCATCTGCATGGATGGACGTGCTGATCTGATCTTGCCGTGCGCCCACAGCTTTTGTCAGAAATGTATTGATAAATGGTAAGCTGTTTGACAGACTGTGGTTACATTTTACTGTGAAATGTTTTTCCTGTGCTTTTGACTGTTTTCCCTAGAACAGGGTATAAAGTACGGTCAGACAAGTGCTAGCAGCCAGAACACCTGGAAGGCTCGAAAGAGGCGATACCTTTAAGGAACTGTGTAATAGGTGCCCAGGTAGGACAGTGTCCCCTCTTCCTGATGTCCCTCTTCCCCTTTTCAATACAATAGCAAAGGGGACAGGGCTAGCACGCTGCCCTCATCACATGTTGATTTCCTTAGTGATTGAGTAGAGCTAATTGACTTGCCACTATTGCCATTCCCTAGCATTTTCACTTTTTTGCTGATAGTCTCCATGGGAGGAGAGATGAAGGAACCAGCTGTAACGTTTAGCCTGATGAGAGTATTCTGCCCGCTAAGTCAGGCTGTTGGTCTAGCAAAAATAGCACTACCAGTAAGGGTTAATGTTACTGTATTCTGGTTTAGCCCATTAATCTTGAATTTGCTTTCTGTATATAAAACTGATGTCAGCATAATACTGATTTTCACCTGCATTTGTATTGCTTAATTTTGTTTTATTTGAATTCAGCAACATTTTGCAAAATTACTTTCCATCAAATGCGATGAATCTTACAGTATTGAGAAATGTTTATTGTTAGCTGTTTTGGATGCAGCCTCCTATGAGAGCAACATGTACCTGATTAGAATACAGTGGGGTCTTGACTTGAGAACTTAATCCGTATTGGAAGGCGGTTCTCAAGTCAAAAAGTTCTCAGGTCAAATCTGCATTTCCCATAGGAATGCATTGAAAACCATTTGATCCGTATCTGCTCTTTTCCGTCCATAGAAACTAATGGGAAGCTGCTATTCCGCCTTCGACCACTAGAGGGGGATATTTTGTTTCTTTTTTTCTTAGGTCAAGAAAGGTTCAGGGAAGGCAGGGAAAATCCAGTTCAGGCAGTACCAGGCAGTCTGAAGACTCCCAATCCACTCTCTAAACGCTGGGAGGAGTGAGGAAGCAGACAGGCACCCTTTTCACTGGCCAACAGTTAACTGAAAGTTCAAATTTTGCACTTTCCCTGCCTCCCACATGGTTTTTTTTTTCAGTTCTTAACTCAAATCTAAGTATGTAAGTCAAGTCAATATTTTCCTATGAGAGTGGTTCTTAAGTCAAAATGTTCTTAACTCAAGCCGTTCTTAAGTCAAGACCCCACTGTAAAATAATTCAAAGACATTTTGTATCAATAAAAAAATTCTCCTTTTCACTAAAATTAAATCAAAAACTGGTATTGCCCTGCTGGCCCAAAACCTTGATCTTGACTTCATAGGACTGTGGAGTAAGGAGTGTTTTCTACAAGGGTAGTCAAGAAATTTAGTTTGGGCAAGGATACCTTTCAATACCATTTCCCTGTTCCTGGAAAGGTATCTGCAGTGGCCCAGTACAGATAACCAGCCAGTTGCTTATGGTAAGAAATGATACAGTAACATCTTTGCTGCGTAGAAGAATCATATGTGGTGCAGAGCACACTTAGTCTGACCCTGTTCCAAGCTAGGCTTTAGCAGAGACAGCACAGAAAATGTATTATGCAAATAGACTTTTTGAAATCAAAATCGGGAATCTTGTGTTAGCTTTTTAAATATCGACAGTCATCCCACTACTCTGTCTTGATTAGTGAAAAAAAACAGTACTGCCAATTCTATTTGAAAACAAAATGGAATCTAAGGCATCTGTGGCCTTTTTGAAACATGCTCAAAAAGCATTTATGAGTCTCTGTTAATATTTGGGTGAGATGGCCAATAGCATAGTGAGCATAAAGCAATATTGCCCTAATGTACTATAGCACTCTGTCCAAGTAGGTGTTATTCAGGAACTTGTGTCTTGCAAGGGTAATATGGTCAGCTTTTGGCACCTCAGTATAAAAATATTAACCATTTGGAAAAAATTCCTACAGCTACATTTGGGATTAAAGGTTTAAAAGAAACATGAAAACTATGGAAGGAAAAGCAAAAAGATGATTAAGAATATATTATATTTTTCTAATCCTATTCATTAACAATAGAAGAAGCGGTTCTAAATTAGACTGTTAAATTAATAATTGGGAAAGTTCCCATTTATGAAATTATAGGAACAATAGTTATTCTCATTATTTTGGGTTATTCATCCTACACACATTGTTTCTTTAAGATAAGATTCTGTTATTTGTTATCTTGTGATCAATGGTAGAATAATTGTTATTGTCACAGAACTTAAAAAGCAGTATTTTGTCATGGAGTTTATGCAGCCAGCCCTTTGAAAGTCAGTTATCATTGTTAATAGTACTCTTGACATGTTAAAATGTCCAATTTCCCTCTGAGGCCACCTGCACAACCATATGTAATATGCATATATGCCTATGACTGAATAATTTACTCAGTACTGTACATCTAAGGAAATTGAGTGTAATCCATGAAAATACATGCTAAAATATATATCTTGGTCTGAAAGGTTCCACAAGCCTTCCCCCCCTTTTTTTTGTTAAAAAGCATTAGTGATTCTTCTTCTTCTGGCTTCCTATACAGGAGTGGTCGTCACAGGAATTGCCCTATATGTCGTCTGCAAGTGACTGCAGCAAATGATTCTTGGGTTGTGTCTGATGCACCTACAGAAGAAGATATTGCTACCTACATACTCAACATGGTAGATGAGGCTGGTCAGCCGCACAGACCTTGACACTTCTGCTGAGTTTGTAGTTTTAACATTTCCTAAGATTTCTTTATCATTGCTGCTCTTTGTTTTGCTCATTTGTTGTATTAGCTCCTGCAAACAATCTTCAAAACTGACCACTTTTGTGAGAACTAGTTTGAGTTCATACTTTTCAGTTTCCTCTTATTAAGCTCTGTGAGTAACAGAAGAAAGTACACAGTGAATTCTCTAATATTTTATAAGCACTGGGATAGCTAATATTTTAGTTTAGCTCTTTGTTGACTCGTTGAATATTGCACTTTGTTATTGAAAGCTTTGGGGTAGTTAGATTGTGTTTCTGGCATTGCACTGAGAAGCTATCCTTTACACAAATATGTGTGCTTGCACAAATAAGAACTGATGATACTCCTACATATAAGTTTCACTAACTTCTGTTGGCCCATTATGTTAATATTTAACACGTTTGTTTGAAAAACTACGTTCTGTAGTGTGTTCTTTATTCAAAATTCTGTGATAGCATATTCTTTTGATCAGTAATTAGCTTTACTGCTTCTGTTCGGAGAGAATAAAATTTTAGGCAACTTTAAATAACACTAGCACTTCCAGTATCTCCATGAAAGTCAGAGGGTTGGAGCCAGCAAAACTTCCTGCAGACAGAAGGCTCTTTCATCAGTGGAGAGCAGAGTTTGCCCACTGGCCAAATCTAGTCTCTGAAATCCTGTTTTCCTAAAAAAAAGTTTTAGGATCTCATTTGGTGACTATGGAGGAATTGGAGAATAGACTGTACTAACCTCCCACTCTGTTTACAAGAGTGTTTTGGAATTCTACTCCCTTGCTTTTGCTAGTAGAATAAAAAGCCAGATACATTCAGTAGTAGTTTACATTTGCTAATAGATCTACCCATTCTTAAAGATCTGTTTTTTTAAACGATGCCACTGTAATTCAAAAAAAGATGGTGACTGAAAGCAAATACATGGTGCTTGAATCCTTTCTGCAAGTGCAGTGTGGATAATTGTAATGGGAAGGAATAATTATATATGATTATGATATCTTTGCTTTAAGGTCGTAAGAAAGGAGAACACTGAAGCCTCTAGAAACCTTGGTGCTGGGTCTTTTAGCAAAGTGTCTTCTGGTGATTGACCCTCTTGTTTTGGGCTTATCTGCTAGCAATAGTAAATTAGTGCGGCTATTTTATATTTCCTACAATGGCCCCAAGCAAAATGTCATGGAAACTTGTAATGGCAGTTTGCACAGCTAACCACCTGGTACAGGGACCTTGGATGCTGTTTCCAGATGTGGTTGGTACAGCAAAGCCATTTTTAATCTGGATCTTTAAAATTTAAGAAAATGGGCTGGGACGTTTTTGAAAGCAAATTAATACAATTGAGACCGCTTGATATTTTTAATTATAAAATTGCTGTCCTCACTACATGTTTACAGATAGATAATGGCTGAAAAACAACAGAGGTTGGGACTGAACGTGTACACTTCAGAATATGGTGGCTTGCTAGAGATTCTTAAATTCAACCTAAAGTCATTAAGATGACAGAGATTATCTTGCTTCTCATCTAATTTTGTTTACCCAAGAAAAGATGTAGTCAGCAGTTCATTCACTAAACACAGAGAAAGATTTTACTTTGAACTTTGTTATGGTGCAATCCTCATGGATTTTGCTTAGAAACATTTCTCAGTGCAAACTGATTTGTAATGGATTATAAATATGAAGGGAGTATTTCTTTCTTCCACAAAACTTATTGTATGTGTCACAACCACACCCAATATTTGTAACTGGTAGTGTTGTGGCAGAAGGACCTATTTTTTAAAAAAACCTGCATTTTGAAAACAATAAGCCATTATTCATTCTTCCCTGTTGAGGGATTATCTTGGATTCACTGCATATTTTGCTACTGCAAGACTGTAGTATTAAATTCTTTAAACCACTTCTCTTAGTTATGGGTAATTACAAATAGTCATGGTAAACATTATGAATGCTAGAGTTTGAAAAGTTGGAATCATTAAAATTTCAGTTATATAGATAATATAAAACAATAGGGGTAATTAGAACAATAGGGGTATATATAACTGTAATATCAGTAACAGAAAAGCTTGTAAATATGTGTATAGAGAATATGTATGTAAACATTGTAGTGTGTATAACTTTTTAAATTAATTAATTTAATTTAAGTAATGTTCTGTGTACCTTGTAAAAGTGTATGTACTATAGGTCTGCCTTGCAAATTATGTAAGGAGAAATTTCCTACAAAGTGGTTAATTCTTCTGTGCCACTAGTGTTCCTCTCCCTGTGGCCTATCTCCAACATTGTGGAGTTGTGCCCCTCTGTCTCTGAGTAGTAAAGGACTGCCAGTGAAACTGCAGGAAAAGAAAATTGCTCCTCAGAATGTGAGACAAGGTACAGTTTCCTGCTGGCTGTATTTGCCCATGGGCTTTTGGCACATGCCTATACTGTACATGCAAACATATGACAGAATTACACGCACTGTGGTTACAATGCATGTCTACTAAAAATACAACTTAACTGTATAAAATTGCATAACTGACTATTGGAAGAATACTGGTTTATCACCTGAATCATGATGGGTTTTAGAAATGATTTTGTGAATTTGAGAGCTGAATTCCTGCTTTTAGAGCAGAAAAAAATGCATTCCTTTGTTTAGCGTGACTGTGAATATTTCCTAAGAGTTTGATAAAAAGACTGTTAATACCTATAAGCCTTCTGATGTATTATTGTTATGGATACTGTGCAATAAAACACTTGGATTTCCTTCATTTTTATGCAGCGTTTAATGGGGTTTCTCCTTCTAGACTCTTGGGACGGGCGCGCACGCACGCGCACACACATGCGCGCACACACACGCGCACACACACACACACACACACACACACACACACACACACACACACACACACCCTGTTTCCCTGAAAATAAGACCTAACCTGAAAATAACCCCTAGTATGATTTTTCAGGATACTCGTAATATAAGCCCTACCTCCAAAATAAGCCCCGGTTAAGTGAAACCCCGCCCTCCACCATTGTGCAGCAACCAGAGGATGACATGACTGTAAAATAAAGCATCCCCTGAAAATAATCCCTAATGCATTTTGGAGCAAAAATTAATGTAAGACCCTTTCTTATTTTTGGGGAAACACTCTGTGTGTGTGTGTGTGTGTGTGCGTGTGCGCGTGTGCGTGTGTGTGAGTGTGTGCACGCGCGCGCGCACACACACACACACACACAAATGTTCTTGTCAATGAGTGTCTGCTTATATATTCTCAGGTCTATGAATGAAGGGTGCGAAAGCGCTCTGGAAAATAAGACTGCAGCTATAAAATGCTTCTTTGGCTGGCAGCATGCCATAGAATGGTAGTTGATGAATAGAAGGGTACTGCTGTACTCATATCTTGTCTGTGGGCTTCCCACAGGCATCTAGTCAGCCATTGTGAGAACAATGCTGGGTTAATGCATGAATTGTTCTTGTAATGGCTCATTACAGCCACAAGTTGCACCAACAGAAAGGCAGCCAAAGTAATTAAGCTCTTTATTATTTTCCAGAATCTGATCTAATGCTTTACAATATTTTAATACCAATCTTGTGATGTTTCCTAGTTTAAAATTATTGCTTTCAGTGGGACTGACTGGTTGAGCATGGATGTATAGAACTGTATAGCAAGTTTAGGGTTCTCAGTAAAGCACAAGTACAATAAGTGTCATATATGCATTACAGCTGTGGAGTTTATATTAAAAGTGAGTGCAAAATGTTTGGTTATTTGCCATGCTGGGAGACCTGAGATATATCTACAGATTTGAACAAGTCACTGCACAATTAAAACCTCAATCTAAAAATGGAATCTGGTCCCGTTGTTTGTTAGGACAAAATGGCTAGGCTCCAGCACGTCACTCTGACAAAAGTGCTTCTATCTGCAGAATAAGGGGGAAAACAATATGGCCACTGCTATCCTCCCCAGATATGAACCTTCAGGTTGGAAAACTCTATGGGGTCTGGTTTCTGAGTGATGCTAACAATTGTGTGGGATCGGGGGGGGGGCCAAATTCTTGATGCTACAGCTCCAGAGTGATGTGGGATTTAGAGCAGTGTAACCCATCCTAAACTTTTAAGTTGATAAAAATGTAAGAAAGATCTAAAATACTGCATTTCATAAGCATCCTTCAATTAATGAATCTAGATCATTAGTATAGAATACCAAAGTTCAACGAACTCGTGGAAACAGGCAATTCTGAGACTGCTTTTTCAGTGCTCATTTTAAAGATTATATATATAATGCTAGTGTTTCAGTGGTACGGACCAAATAATTTTTAAATATATCTGAAGATAAATGATAACAGTCAATCAATATAAGGGTCTATGAACTTTCAGGATATATTTGTGAAAAAGATTCTCAAAAAGTACCAACTACAAATGTCTGCTCCTGACATCCTCTCATTGGATCATGACAAGTGACTTTGGAAGCAGCTATGCTCTGGACTGAAATCACAATTTTGAATATAGTATTGCATTTAGGATCTGAGTATTTTCATAACCAAAGATAGTTATATGTTCTAATGCAAAAATATGTTTCTCAGAATGTACACATTTAATCCTTAATGATTAAAACAGAAAAAACAAGGGCTGAAGACTAGTTCTCTCACTGCTGGCACCCAACTATTTATAAATGCCTTACAAATGTCACTACAGAAAAGCTGATTTTGCTTTTTATCCTCTTCTAATACATAGCCATTTGTCTTAATTTGCTGCCATTAGCTTTCATTCTACAAAGTAGCTACGTAACTAGTACTTAACAATAGCCAGAAGCCTTACATATCAGTCAGAATCCTATTTGTTAATTATGCCAGCATACATCATAATGTGCTGTCAAGTAATTCTGACTTATGGCAACCCTTTTTTGGGGTTTTCTAGATAGAGAGTATTCAGAAATGGTTTACCATTCCTTTTTTCTAGGGGCATCCTGCAGTAGAGATGTGCACTTAACCAGGGTCCTTGGTATGCAGGCATCCAGTGGTGGTAACATTACACCAATAACAGACATAGTCCTGCCTGTGCTTCCACACCTCGCAGCTGACCACTCCAGCAAGGAGGTGGGAAACAGTCTCCCAGCTCAGCTCCTGAGGGGAGAGATGGAGCAGCACCAACAAGACTAGGTCCATGATTGGCGCAGTGTCACCCCCAACGGATGCACGTACTGCAAGAAGCCTAGTGAGTGGACCAGGCTGGTTCTGGGGGCTGTGGTGGCTGCTGTGCTTTGTATTTGTATCCCCTGGATACGAACACAAATCATATGCCCCTGGATATGAATACAGCACATTTCTCTAGTGTGCAGCTTGTCCAAGGCCACACAGGCAGGCTCATCCTTGGAGGTACAGTGAGGAAATGAACTCCCAGTCTCTGATTCCACAGACAGATACCTAAACCACTGAGTTATCTAGCCAGCTACCCACATACGTGCAACAGCATAAACTGCAGCCCGATATTGCTGCAGGTGAACATCACCTCTTACATCCTTTATCATGTACCAGTAAGCATAAGCTGGTGTACGATGAGTTACAGGTGACAGTTCATTAACTGGTGGCATCACCACTGCAATTTATGCTACTGCACTTAACATTGATGTAATTAAGCAGTAGGATTTTGGCTATTTTACACACAGCCATCTAAAAAGCTGCAGGGCACCAAGCAACTGGGACTTACATTTGTGGTAATTCTAACAGCATCTCACACAAATTGCTAGTGTGTTTTAGACAGAGAAAACTATTAACACGGTGTTAACTTGTGCTGAATAAGCAATTTTGCATGTCTGCGTGAGATAAGAGGAAAGAATGTCTTGCTGGTATCAGCTCTGTGAAGAATGTGCATTTGAAGCACGAAAGAATTAATAATTTAGGTTTAAAGATAAAAATACACAGAAGATATGCGCGTCACCGCAGATTATAGGCAAGATCAGGCTGGGGTGGATTACTAGAAGGTCCAAACCATAATTGACATGGGAATAAAAATACTGTCCTACTGAATAGTAGACTTGGTATGGTGTATGAACCTCTGGTCACTGAGGATGCAAGAGGAAGGAACAAGATGTCCCTATGGACTCTGGTCGCCTCCGCGGGGCAAGTCTTAATTAAAATTATTGCAACATTGCGGGCTGGGCCTCCAAAATAGTGGATATCTCTTTTAAAGAATATCGAGAATTTTGACATTTTACTGCTTCAAGAGTCCTAGCAAGAAATGATATTGGATGGCTATGTGTCATTTGTTCTTAAAGCGACTCCTAGTGAAAGGGTGGGGGGTTGGTGTAAGGGAGGGCTGTATGTGATGATATCTAACAAGCTACAAGCCTGTGCAATCCATACAGATTAAATCTCTAGTATTGCCACTGCTGAAATTTAATTTCTGTGTTTTATTGTTAATTGGTATTTACATTCCACCTCAGCAATTGCAGGAGTGTATTAAGCGGATGTGGGTTGTTTTAGAAATTTATATTGTAAACTTGATGATCTACCCATCTGCCTCGATTACAGGCTACTTTAATGTGAGGACAAGATGCAATGATGAGGTCGTTTTTGCACGTTGGGACAGGTTACCATCTGAGACCAATATCTGCCACCCTCTCCCCTATAAATTGTCAAAGGATCAGGGCTGTAATTATGCAGGGTTATGCTTTATGCAAATAATTAATAATCTAGACCTGGTCCTCCTAAATGGAACTGTGAAGGGTGACAGGCTTGGGGAATTTACCTTTGTATCAACCAATGGTGCTTCAACGATAGACTATGCCATAATCTCACAGGACCTGATAGGAGCAATAGCAGATATTAAGATTGACGACTGCATCAACAGTGATCACTTACCTTTGGTGTTGGAGATTAGCCTGGGGGAAACCTGTAATGTCCTCTGAGAAAGATCCAATAACTCTCCTGATGGCAGAAATTAGACCTACCCACATAAAATGGTCAACCAAACAAGGAGACACCATAAGAAAGTTACTATAAACGGAGCCCTATCTGCAGATGAGTCACCTAATTAGTACAGCTCATTCAATCACAGATGTACTGTACTAGAGAATTATGGGGAATTATTAAATTCTCTTCAAGATTACTTAAAGTGTGAGAATAACAGTAAAAGAACACAGACTTCCCTTAATCTACACTCATGACCGTGGTTTAACAGGGTGTGTGTGTGTGTGTGTTTGTATGTGAACATGATCTATTGAATAAATATAGACTGTACAAAGAATAAGGTTTGGGAAGAGTTCCATAGGAATGGTTTATATTGAAGAGAGAGTACAAATCCCTAATTAAAAAGATTAAAGTTTAGGGAAACTCTTGCCATCAGCTAATTGTTGCAACGAAATTAAGGGATACTAAATCCTTTTGGAGAATTGTGTCGGGGCCTGATGGTTCACCCTGTAATTAATGATAGTTGTAATCTAGTAAGGGTGTGGGAATCACACTTTAGGGGTATTTACTCAGCACCCAGATATCACTGTTAAAAATCAAGAGCTGCTGGTCGGGTTAATGGATTGCCTCTCTGTTTCCACGCAGGAAATCAGCTCGTTGATTTGTCAAATGAAAAAGGGCAAAGCCCCAGGTGCCAATTACATCATGGCTGATTTACTGCAGGATAACTTGGATTGGTTGGCCCTGGTTTTGGCATCACTCTTTAAATGAATTGACTGCTCAGCAGTTATTCCAAAGGATTGGGGGCTTGCAATTATAGTACCGATCTTTAAGAAAGGCTGTAAATCGGATCAGAGAAATT